GACCTGAGCCCAAGTCAGATGCTTAACTGACAGCCACCCAGGCACTCTTTCTTCTTTTAAAAGTACTTTGAACACAACGTTCAAAAAGCATCATACTACACCATTAAGTCTGAATGAAGGGAACGAACTGGCATTATAGCTACATACAGAGAAAAGGTTCTAAAATGCAAAAGGTAGGTTCTATAGCATAAGGAAACTGACCTAGCCAGGATGCTATTGATATTGCTGTTTTCATTTAACGTATGTGAAATCTCATGAACATACCCCAGCCGTAAGCATACATATTATGTTAAAGCGGTATTTAGTACTTTCTGGAAGAGTCATATTTAAAATCAGAATTGTCCTTGCCCCACTGAAAAATAAAATGAAAAAAGTTTTTCAAAAAATTTTTTTTAATTGAGAGACAGAGAGGAGCAAACAAGAACAAGGAAACAAGGAAAAAGAAGGAAAAATAGATCACTTCTCTTTGTGCCAAGGAAAAATATATCACAAGCTCGTTTGTGTTTAGCACTCAATTTATAGCCCAGCAATCTGAATCTCCGAACTTAAGCCTTCACGGATGAGTGCCCCAAGTGGCTTTTGAATTAGAGGATAGCATTACTCAATTTGAGGCTAGCCCTTTCAGGAAATATATTTAGCTACGGCACACAATATTTCAATTCTAAAATGAGAATGTCAACTGTGAAACTAAATTTAAAATTTTTGTTGTTTTTCTCTCAGCTCCTCCCACACTTACTATGAATTTGAATAATATGAATCCAGGAAGCATTTAAGTAAATATGGTGTGCATTCTAGGTTTTATGGCAGGCATTACCGCTTTGATCACTCGGAGCCTATCAAATTATAGGCTGACACACACAAGTGAAGAAATCTACGTCCCACATGCCATGTTATTAGAGCTCTACCCTCAGCCAGTGAAGGGGCATGTCTACCCTGCTGGGGTAAGAGAAGATACAATGGGCTGGGAAAAGGACCCTCTGCCATCTGCATCATCCCCCACAGTGCTCACCATGCTGAACCAGCAAGCAAGCTCTCAGAACTGCGAGGTAAAATCAGACGGAAGAGAAAAGAATCCTCCCAATACAAGACCATGTATATACTCTGTATATAAAAATACACACACACACACACACATTCCTCACGTTTTATCAGTTCTCCTTAGTAATTAACAAATTACTAAATTTTGCCTGTGCTAATACTTCTATGGTCAACCTGTCAACCAAAAAGTTTTGGTTAAGGTCAAATTCTGTTTTAAACATAGAGGGCCTATCCATTACCTGGGCTTAGGAAGCTGCCTACCACATACCAGAAGTACTTTCAAATTTAAGGTGTAAATTTATTGATGACACAAACATATTTTTGGCTGTTCTTCCAAGATATAAGACACAAGAAGTAGAGTTATGATCACCAGTAGTCAAACTGTAACTGACATTAGCCAGACTTTGAATTCAAGAGAAAGAGACACCGGCATCCGGGTGGCTCAGTGGGTTAAGCATCCAACTTCAGCTCAGGTCATGATCTCATGGCTCCTGAGTCCAGCCCCACATCACGCTTGCCGTTGTTAGTGACAGAGTCACTTCTGGATCCTCTGTCTCTCTCTGCCCCTCCCCCACTTGCACGCTTTCTCCCTCTCTTTCAAGAATAAATAAACATTAAAAAAAGAGAAAGAGACAGAGAAGGTGTGTGTGTGTGTGTGTGTGTGTGTGTGTGTGTGTGTGTGTGTGTAGGGTGTGCAGAGTAGCAATATAGAGTTCCTGTCTTATACGCTTTCCGACTTTTACTGAAAACCAAAATACCCACCTGAATGTAAATGCATCTCCGACAGTTATGTTTTCTCTAGAAAACTTAACAAATTAAAATCAGTATGCCTCGAAAAGCTATAATATTATAAGCTAATACTGGAGCACTTACTATGTGCCAGGTGCTGTTCTAAAAGATTTGCATGTAATGACTCATTCAATCCTAACAATGACTCTTTGAGATTGGCACTATTATATCCTTTTTATAGTTGAGGGACTTAACTTGCCAAAGTTGCCATGTTCACCCCGATGATAAAGTATAGAATTGGAAGTCAAACCTGACTTGTCGATTAGCAAGTAGACAACATGTCTTGCTTATCCCAAATTCTAACTTGGTAGTGAGTATGGGGAGAAGTAGATGGTACAGGTAAGACTTGAAGCCTCTGATGCGATGAACACAGACCCAAGTCAAATCAGAGATGCTCTATTTCTACCCTTCCAAGATCTCAAGCTGGCTCCCCTAAGAATCCTTCCCCTGCTGGGTGTCTGGAGAGAAACAGATCATTGAGCCCATGGGAAGATCATGACCATTTGTGGGGAGGCTTCTGAGAAAATGAGAAGCTGCTGTGACATTCTAGCAGGCATAACGTCTTACAGACTTAAAAAACAACTTATAAGAATGATACAGACTATAGGATAGAAAAGTGACCATGTGGTACAACAACTAGGCAGAGACATCAGACATTCACATTAACAAAAAATTAAAATAAACGTGAGTTTAACATTGCTACAGTCAGATTCCAGAGTTGATGGATACAAAGCACTCTGTAACTGTTTTCACTGAACTGTGAGAAAAAGTCTCAGTACTGTCTCCCAAGCACAAGTCAAATTAGTACCACCTTTTAAATGTGACGTGTGGTTACCAGGTCTCAGGAAAAACAGTCTAAATGTTGAAATAGGGAAACACTATGTATAGATGACAGACAAAAGGGTAATTGTTTAAGGCATGTAAGTCTATCACTCTCATTTTCACCTACATGAAAATAAATACAAATGGCAGAATGTATACAAGGTGGATGGAGAAACCAGTACAAAGAACATGCATTAAGAATCACAGGACTTTAGAGTTAGAAAGGAACTTAGTGAACAAGTCCAGCTTCTGCACTTGACATAAAATAAAACCAAGGTCAGCAGAATTTGGATTGTGTGTGCAGGTGTTATCTTCAACTATGCGGGTGAGGAATTGCCTCTAGGGAGAATGTATGGAGCAAGAAGATAAGAGGTGGGGATGCAGGACCTTGAGGTTTCTGAGAGGCGGGCTGATGAAGAGCAGCCGAGGAAGGCAGTTGGTTAGGGACAATGAAGAGGTAGAACGAAACCCAAGAAGTGTGAGGTCACGACAGCCTGAGACAGAAGGAGTTTTAGGAAAGAATACGTGGTTGTGTTGAATGGCAGGAAGAGTTCTAAGAAGACCAGAACCGGGAAATGTTCATTAGATTTGGTGGCTATTGATTAGTGGTGACCTTAGCAAAAGCAGTTTCGGAAGCATGATTGCAGTGGAAGATTGCCACGTTTTAAGCAATGAATGAGAGGTGAAAGAAAGAAGAAAGAAAGATGTCCAGTGCTTGCCCTCAGACAGTATAGATGAGAAGGGGACGGCTACACATACAGCAAGCTAGTTTCTCAACCAAATTTTAATTTTTCCTTAACTTTTCCAACCATGTGGAGTTTATTTTGATAAATAAAAGGAGTTCTAAAACTTTCCTTCTTTTACTGCCTCTAGTAAGTTTTGAATGAATGAGTAATAAATAGGCAGCCCCAGGCCTAGACCCTTCACTCACGAAGGACTTAGGCAAGCTATTGTTGGCAGCTCTCGCCTTCCCAGACTCCCTTCCTTCATCCTCCACTCACTGGAACAGCTTCCTCATTCTCCAGAGCTTTCTACCAGCTACGGAAATTAGGTTCTCACGCCATCGGAAAACACTGAGGAGATTAATGGGGAGGAGTTCAACTATCTTCAATCTTGTGAAGGCTGGCAGTTTTTAAGCCTTGCCAACTATCTATTTTCTTTGCTTGGTTTCTGCCAGAGGCAAAAGTCAGCAGCAAGAAGAAAGGGGGATGTCAAAAAAGAGCACTCTTAAAAAATTAAAAGAAAAAGAAAGAGAGAGAAAGACTTAGAATAGGGAAGATTTACTGCTGAAATTAAACCAGAGAGCCAGTTAGGAAAGGGAGACTGGTCACAGAATTAAAAGCTATTTATGTTTGTTTATTTAAGATTATGTGCATTACCTATTGTATTGGACAACCCAAATGGCTCTCCCTCTACAAATACGCTCCTACTAGATATCTGTTGGAGTCATTTCCTGAAAACCAAGAGCTCCGTGTGCAAAGTCAATTATGGTTCTTTCCTCCAGTAAGAGATCAAGACAGCATGATCTGAAAAGCCATGTTGCCTTTACATTTTAGCAACATCTACTTTAGCATTGTTCTTTAATTATGAAATCTGAGATACATTTTCAAAGTGGATTAGGTGCATTTTCACATCCACCATTTCACCCTGAATCTTAAAGGTCTGTCAGTCTTTTCTCATGTAAGGAATTAAAAAAAAAAGTCTCTGAATTACTAGTGTCAGCCACAATACGATCATTTAAATTCACTCCAGAGGCACTGGTGGCGATAGCTGTCTTGCTTGAGGTCATGCATTCTAAATTTTCTTCCCCATTTTAAAAGTGTCGGGTAGTAATGCAGTTCTGTTTCTTGAAAAGATATATATTCATTCAACAAGCATGTGTTTAGCATCCAACACATGCTTGACATTGGGGTGGTTGCTGCAAATATCAAGATGAATGAGATATAAAAGTGGCCCCTCTGGATCTTGTACAGAGAAAGAAGAGAAAAGTGGCCCCTCCGGATCTTGTACAGAGAAAGAAGAGAAAATACGTATTTTTTCACTTCCACAATCTGATTTCTTTGGAGGTTTGTTTTATACCTTTCCTCAGAATACCACGACCTATGATACCTCCCTTGCCTCGTGTATTATCAGCCGAGCTACTTCATCATAAATAAGCAAAAAAGTACATAAAACTTGTTACGTGAAATGAAAGTTCTAGATAAAGAGAAAGAGACTTCACCTAAAAGAGCAACACATGAGACTATGAGAAATGCCGACCACCCTCCTGTCCAATCTCAGGAGGCAGTATCATAGACACACGCGTTCGTGCGCGCGCATAGACACTTCAACAACCACATCAAAAAACTTACCTGACTTGCCCACACCTGCTCTCCCAAATATTGCCAGTTTGACCTCTGCACTTTTAGCCATGCTGGGTGTTGGTAGATAATTCACTGTCGTTCCAACTAAAGAGCTGAGAAAATCTTTTCGGTTCCCGCCTTTGGATTCACCATATCATTGTAAATCTGCAATCCTTGAAAAAAAGAGATTTGGGAATTCATAAGCGACTGCAGAGAGGGCTTAGTGTTTATTAAGCATTTCCTACATGCCAGCTACCGTTCACTTTATCAGCATTTTCCATTGTGATCTCCATCGCAATCCTGTGTAGGGCTAAAGCAACTGACTGCAAACTAGTCAACTAATAAACGATAGATTCAAGACCTGAATTTAGATCTCTTTGGTTCTAAAACATATACATTTTCAGACACAATAGCATAACCTGAGACATTTTTAATGAAGGCATTGTTTTTTGGTCAATAACTGATAACAAATACTTGATGTGTGTGAATACGTGTATTTACCATGTGTCTATAAATACCCAAGACACAATACACATAATGGAGGAATCACATTTGGAACTCTTTTATTTTCCTTAGGGCTGAATAATATACATTCATATTAGTCAATCCTGTTGTAATTATTGAATTTGCACTTCAAGGTTAAATTTTAGCTCAGTTCACACGAGATCACATGATTGAGTCATGTGACAGATACACATGTTCCAGGAATTGATATATAATATCTAGTTAATATTTTTATATATTTCTGGGCACAATACCATTGGCACACAAAAGAGAAATGCCATTCCTCAACTTCTGATTCCTTTTCTAAGACAATCTTAAGTAAATTAGTTTATGGTACCATCCTAACCCTTAGGAAATGATATTATATACAATGTAAGTACATTTTATATAGATGGGTGCTTTCGGAATGACACCTAGGTTCTTAGTACCATGGAAATGTAAAGTTGGAAAGAGCCTTGGGGTCAACCAAAGTAATCCTCTAGCCATGTCAGGAATCCTTCCTTGAGATCAGACAACCATCTTGTGTCCGACTGAACACTTTCAAATACCTGGGGTCAGAGATGGTCAACGGACAGAAAGTCAACTTTTTGTTTACATTTACTCAGAACCTTTCAAGCAGCCCAGCAACTATTAGGACCCTCTGCCCCATCCTAGGCGACTACTTTCTAGGAAAATGAGACCTGGCATCTTCCCTTGTTCTTCATAAGATGCATGGTCTTGTTTGTTTTTTTCTTTGACTCTTGCCTTCTCTCTTCACCACATGCACTTTGCTGGCACTTGCCATTTCATCACTAAAAACATGGCCTTCCATCCATCCACTACTTGCGACATGACTTGACAAGCTGACCTCGCAAAAGTTCAGTGAGATTCTCCCAATTCTGTATCCGGCACTGTGGTTGTACAGCCACTGTCAGCAAGATTCACATCTTTCACAAGAACTGCAGACTCCTTCATTCGGAACTCCTGCAATCAGTGTCTTAAACTTAAACATGACTTAACTTTCATCCTTGCTAAACTTAATCACGTTAGTGATTCATTCATTTCATCCACTCTGTCAGTCTGCAAAGATATTTTTGCAACACAAATCGGTTATCTAAACGTGTAAACTGCTCCTGGCAGCATTTTGTCATCTACAACTTTTCAAAAGAGCTTCTCAAGAGAAAGAAAGAAGTGAAACTCCTTCTGGAAAAGTATTTCTACGACGGCATGAGAGTGTAATTGCCTTCTTCATCATGCATCCTAGCCTTGCACCCAACAAAGTTTGTATTTGCTGATTTCCAAAGGACCAGAGCTTCCTCTGAGGGATAAAAAGGTCAACATTAACATTAGCTATTGTTTACTTCATCCCCAATAACAAACAAAATTTCTCTGTAATCATTAATAACAGCACAAAAAAACCAGAAGCTTTAACATCTGCAATGTGTCTAAGCCCATACTTTTGGCTAAAGATAAAAGAATTTCCTTATTTGTCATTTTATATGCATTCATTAAGGAAAAGCCTTATGTTTAAAGTTCAGTGCTTCATCACAGAAGCATCACAAAAGCATAATATCTGCAGATATATAACTGTATAAATTCTACATAAGAATGGCAAGCATTTCTTTGAAACACAGACCAAGCAAGGGTCTGTATAAACAATGATTTGTTATTTCATGCAAAACTGCTCATTTCCATGCACATAAATTCTAAGTAATTATCTATCTTATTTATACATCATGAAAGTAGTCATCAAATGTGATTTCTAAAAAATATATAAGCCAAATACTTCATTAACTCCCAAATGACCTCAGAGATATAGGAATTGCACACAAGAAAAAAATTGTGTAGGTTAATTTTTTTCACTTATAAGGATACAGCTGCTGACTATCAACCTATTATTTAGGAAGATCACTTAAAGAAGATGCAAACTGACATGTACGTTTCAACATTTTGGTTTTCACATAAAAATGTGAAAAGTTACATTTGACAAAAATATAAAACAAAGACAAATGTGTAAATTGGTGTATTAAGTGATCTTTTGCCAACTTCTGATGTTCAAAATAATTTATAATTCCAGACCTTCCATGACATGGACCTAAAAATGTTTGTCTTAATGTTGTTGTTTAGAAATATACTGGCAGGGTCTAGAAGTTGCCATTTCCTTTTTATGTGGACAGTGCTTTACTAGGACAAAAGAACTTCTGAGTTTCTATCACTCCTAAAGCTAAAATGACACCTAGATATTTAGGAGACTAAAGGTAGAGTGATTTTCCCCCTAAACACAAAGGAACTAAAAGAAGGCTTAGAAAGAAGAAAAAGAAGCTAGCCTCCAAATCCTATGCTATTATTAATACATTTGTTGATCATTCCACAATTATGCTAAGCACATACAAACAAAAGTGGCCACCTTCCAGGAGCTTCCAGTCTGTCAAACCTGTGACATTTAGGTCACCAATAACCTGGTTTTATTTATTTCAAGAAAGGTTTCATTAATAATAAATCATTCCCAAGACTATTATTATCAAGGTCCTTGCCTTCTACTTCCTCTTTGGGGATGGGGTGGGGTAGGGGGAACCAAGCATCTTTATAAGGTAATAGTTTTTCTAACTTCTGTATCTATCATCAAAATAAAGCACAGCTGTTTAGGCAAGCGGACTCTGGTCTTAGGAATGAGATCCTCTTCTTTAGCTCTGAAATCAAGTTTTCCTTCTCCCGCTACCAGGAATTCTCCCTCATCTTGCAACGCAGCACCCACAGCGACGAGGATAATTGTGCAAGATCCCCCCCCTCCCCCCCCAACCTCGGGTATAGCTTTGCTCCAGAGCAACAGGTATCCGAGAACGATCAACAAGCCCATGGGGACGGCAGGTCACTTGCTCTCAACCTGGAGAGCAAATGCAGCCTAAATGAAAAGGGCATTCTCAGTCTCAGCTCGGAGGGCGCTGTCAAGCTCTGGGCGCCGGCGCTCACATCTCCCCTCTCAGCGAACCCCAAAGCCGCCCCGGGAAGACCCGGCGACCAGGACGACGGATCCAGAGGCCACGCGTCCTTGGGGGGCGGGGGCGGGAGTCCCAGGGGTGTGCAGGAAGTCGTTCCGTAAGAGCCACCTGGGCACGTGCGTGACACTCACCTGTTCACACTCTCCAGGCCCGGGAGAGCCGCGGTCCCCTGCAAGTTCGGAATCGGTCCCCGCGAAGCCCTCCCACGCTGCGCAGCCCAGCCTGGGGCTCGCGTTTCCGCGGCTGCGATCGCCAGTGGGAGCCGCGGCGGCGGCGGCGACTGCAAGTGCTGACGGGCCGGTGGGGGTCTCTGCGCTCGCGCTCGCCTAGACTAGCGGCCGAGGGACTGCGGCAGGACGCGAGCTCAGACCGGCCGGGGCCGCCGCTCTGCCGCCAGGATGCTGCAGTGCGGCGCGTCGGCGCCCCCTACTGGGGCCCTGGGCCGGTACCTCCCGCGACGCCGCCTCCCAGCCCAGAGGAGACACATCCGCCTTCTGCGTGCTGCATCCCAGGCTGGCTTCCCTTTCCCGGGGTCCTTCCCGGCCTCTAGGTTCTCGAAGAAGGACCTCTCCTGTAGGTTACAACTTTGCGTGTGAAGGCATCGCTACGTGGTGTTTTCCATTCCTTACTTCAAATGGTGCTCACAACATCCCTCTGAGGTATGTTTAATTATCCCCATGTTACCCAACAGGAAATTGAAAGAGGATAAATAACTTGTCCAAGGCTAATAAATGGCTGGAATGAAAACCAGGCCGGATTGGAAGCTACGAGATGCTAGGAGCGATATAAATACCGAATCCAATTGAAATTTATAGTTATATATTTGACAAAGTGCCAAAAGCTTTACATTCTCCTTACATGATCAGCATTTACAGGCGTTGAATAGAAGTCATACTTCATCTTCCTCAAAACCTAACAAAGATGATTAATATTGGTGCTGTGCTAGGCCCGCTTTTCTCTCGTCTCATTTGATATTTATACCCTCCCTTGAGGTAAGCACTAGTATTATAATTGTTAGCCTTTCACAGATGAGTAGGTGGGTTTCAGAGAGGTTAAATGATTGCCCAAAGGCTATGAATCTTCTGATCAAAGGAGCAGGAAACACCTAGGCTAGTATTTCTTTCCTTCAAGTTCTGGGTGTTCTTACTAAAAGACCAGGTGGCCTCCAGAAAACCACTGCGATATAGAGCAGACAGGGACCTACCACTAAGTGAACAATCTTCAGTGTGTCCTTGATGGAAGAGGTGTAACCATGGAGGCAGTTTCTGGGGCCAGTGCTGACCTGGAAAGCCACTGCACAGAGAGTCAGGGGCCAGACTGAATGAAGAAGCTAGATCCGTGGCGGAGGGAGGAATTGCCAAGCTGCTCAGGTGCTCTCCTGATTTTTCTTTGAGGAAGCTCACGTGTTGTATCCTCTGTGACTTTCCTGACCACCAATCTATTTCCTCCTCACAACACACACCTGGATAGGATGAGCCTTGTAGCCTTATCTGTCATCATGTTTGCATTGTACTCATTTGCATTTCTCAGTCTTCTCCATCAAACCTGAACTTCTGGATGGTGGGATATATTGTACGTATGTGTTCAT